ATATCAAATATAAAAGTATCATCGAGAAGATGGACGAACCCAGTGACTGGGTAAGCCAAATGGCAGTGACTGTGAAGAAGAATGGGGACCTTAGGATCTGTATAGATCCGAGACCTTTGAATAAGGCACTCAAGAGAGAGCATTTCCCCATGCCGGTCCTAGATGACATACTACCAGACCTTTCAAAGGCACGAGTTTTCAGCCGTCTTGATTTGCAAGATGGGTACTGGCACTGTGAATTGGATGAGGAATCTAGCAAGTTGACGACCTTCCAAACGCACCTTGGGCGCTATAAATGGAAGCGCCTCCCATTTGGGTTAAACGTGAGTGCTGAAATATTCCAGAAGCGTCTCAAGACAACGCTAGAAGGGCTGGAGTCTACAGAATGCATTGCAGACGACATCATCGTGTGGGGAGTTGGTGACTCGATGGAGGAAGCACGTAGGGACCACGACAAGAACCTAGAGGCTCTAATGTTGAGAGCCCACAAACAAGGTTTAAAATTCAAACAGTCTAAGTGCGAGTTTAGAACAACCTCTACAGTGTTCCAAGGCCATATCATAACAGCTGCAGGGCTACAGGTAGATCCAGAAAAGGTCAAGGCCATTCAGAATCTGAAACCCCCGAAAAATGTGAGGGTGTTGCGAGGTACAGTGAATTACCTGGCCCGGTTTCTCCCTTGGCTGTCGACCGTGATGGAGCCCATTAATAAGCTGACCGACGGAGGATGTTCCTTGGCATTGGGAACATGAACAAGACCAGGCTTTGACGAAGATCAAAGACATGATCTGCACAGCACCAGTAATGGCATATTATGATACCAAGAAGGAGCTGGTGCTACAATGTGATGCCAGTGAGTCAGGCCTGGGGGCCGCACTGTTACAGGAGGGTCGTCCAATAGCGTATGCCAGCCGGGCACTTACAGACCCCGAGACAAGATACGCTCAAATAGAGAAGGAGGCAGTCGCAGTGGCTTGGTCACTTGAACATTTCAGACAATACACATATGGGAGAAAAACCATAGTGCACACAGATCACAAGCCTCTTGAACCGATTTCAAAGAAACCACTGTGCAAGGCCCCTAGACGTCTTCAGGGGATTTTCATGAAGATCCTGGAATATGACATTGACCTGAAGTGGAGACCTGGGAAGGAGATGCACGTCGCAGATATGCTGTCCAGATCCTACCTACCTAAATCGACAGGAATGTCAGACATTGAGCAGGTATGCATGGTAGACTACTTGCCGATCCGAACAGAAAGACTCGAACAGCTCAAACTAGAGACAGAAAGGGACGAGACATTGCAGCTCTTGAGGCTAGTGATTCTGAAGGGATGGCCAGAAGAGAAGCATCAATGCCCTACCCAGGTAACGCCATACTTCAGCATACGTGAACAGTCTACAAGACGGTCTGATATTCAGAGGCGAGAGGCTCGTCATCCCTGCAAGCATGAGAGACCAAATGAAGAAGGCTATTCACACCTCTCATTTAGGGGAAGAGTCGTGTCTCAGGAGGGCCAGAGAAGCACTATACTGACCAGCCATAAACGCAGAAATCAAGACCTTCATATTAACTTGCGACACATGCCGCAACTATGAAACCAGCCAGTGCAAAGAAACTATGATGCCACATGAACTACCTGGTAGACCCTGGGAAAAGGTTGCCATCGACCTATTTACTTGGGAAGACAAAGACTACCTGGTGACGTCAGATTATTACACCAATTTCTGGGAGGTGGACAGACTGAAGAGAACCAACTCTTCAACTGTCATCAGCAAACTGAAAAGGCATTTTGCCAGACAGGGAATACCAGAACAGGTTATTAGCGACAATGCTCAAAATCTGACATCCGATGAATTCCAGAGATTCGCGAGAGACTGGGATTTTGACCACGTCACCGTGAGTCCATACAACAGCAAATCAAATGTCAAGGCGGAGTCATCAGTGAAGGCAGCAAAGCGGATGCTACGGAAGGCGAAGAAGTCCGGAACTGATCCATATCTCGCCCTGCTGGAGATTCGCAACACCCCAACACAAGGAATGGGCAGTAGCCCCATGCAGCGTTTGAATAACCGTCGGGCACGCACCCTGTTACCAATGACACCGAACCTACTCAAGCCTCGGGTGATCAACGTTGAAACAGAGAGAGATCAAATGCAACAGCTGAAGAATAGACAAACGAAGTACTACAACAGGAACGCAAAAGATCTGCCTGCAATGGAAGAAGGTGACACCGTAAGAATGAAGCCTTTTGCTAAAGGACAACGAGAAAGAAAGAAAGGTGTTGTAGTGGCTAGGCTCGATGAGATGTCGTACACAGTGGACACACCGGATGGCAGTTACAGACGTAATCGTGCGGACATTAAACGCACCATGGAAAAACCACCGCCCACTACCATGCAACGAAAATCATTACACATACCTCCAAGGAAGACGGGTGGAAATGAGTCAATAGCACCGAGGACAACGGGTAATACGGAGCCAATCCACAGGCCTATTGGCGACAACAAATCTGCAAGAGAAGAACCCATGGCAACATCTAGAGAGAAGAACAATTTACATACGCCGACAAATAAACTGCCCCCTCAACCAATACATACTTCTACCCCACTTGCACCACTTTAGAACAATCACAACACCACCAGGTCAGGTAGAGCCGTCAAGAGACCCGCTCACCTAAGCAATTATGTACCGTGAGCGATGATAGAAGGTGATCGATAGGGCCATCAGTACAATCTGACACCATACACCCAGGAAGATTCTAACAAGTTGTTATTAAGGATACAAAACCTACATCAATTGAACTGTAGGTCAGGATGATATTATTTGAATGTGGCATTTGTTAAAGTCCTTATAATAATGGCAAATTCGTTTGTTATCGTTGTCACTTAATTGACATTTGTTAGTTGACTGTGTTGTAAACAACTGTGTTGTATAGGTACGCTGTATACAAGGTTCCACGTGCACAGTGTTGAGAGTTTTGAGTTATTTCATATAGGAGAAAAGATGTATCACACCGCGTAGTTTTGTTCTGTGTGTTACCGCCCTGTACGTGTGAAGGGTCACGTGGTGTGATCGCGGGAGTTGGAAGATGGCGGAATAAGAAGTGGACGAATAAACTATGTGTGTTATCTTTCACTCTGAGTTATGTTTATACTGGCGTGTTACAGAGGCGCTGTTGCTACTGGCAATTGACGGGCCACCTCGGCAAGAATTCCCATTTGACCCACTGGCAGCAAGAACAAGTCCGCACCTGCAGCTACAGCACACACGCATCTATTGACTATATATAACAACGTTATATATAGTTGTTATAGTAGTTATAGTTGTTATAGTAGCTATAGTTGTTATAGTAGTTATATATAACTATATATAATGTTGTTATATATAGTCAATAGATGCGTGTGTTGTAGCTGCAGGTGCGGACTTGTTCTTGCTGCCAGTGATTCGACCAGGGCCCTGGACCCCCCTAGTTCCCCTCCCCCTATAGCACATCGTTGGGACTTCAAGCATACCATCGAAGCAGAACTAGAACAAATCAAAGATGGCCAAGACCTTGAGTCGCCTAGACATGATACCAGCTCTCTTGAGAACCCAGTCATCCTAGTGTAGTGGTCCTGTGGTTAGCACGTGTAATTTATTTGTGTCGGCATCCTTTTCCGCTCCTACCGCGAAGGTAGGACGATGATGCAGTATCAAGAAAAACCCCAGAGTGAAATGAACGTAAGTCCTTAGATAGTCTTTATACAACTGATGGTTTTATTCATCATATACGAATAACGTGAATAACGTTCACTGCACGTATCTCAAATATAGCATATAGATATATATATATTGCTCGTGTCACGTTTACGTTACCTCGTTAGGTGATTACACGTTTAACTTCTCTTAGCTATTCTACGAGTTAATATTGTAGCCCCCAGCGCTGCTCCTCGTCTGTCTCTCCCCGCCGTGTGCTCCTCGGCTTGGAGCAAGTTCGTGGGTTGGCAGTGTGTCTCCCTGTCCGGGGTAGGCTATAGTTCCGCGACCCTCCCTTAGTATAGGATATACCTTCTCGGGCGTCGTCCTGCTCGTGGGTTGTAACATGGGTTTTGCACGTGTTACATGAAGTAGTCAGCGAGGCTATAGACTATGGTTGTTTGGTGACCAGTTAGTCTGCGTAGACGCAGCGTCGCGCATATTGGGCGGCTGCATTGATGTTACATGGAGTTGGATAAGCGGGTTTTAGGTTAGGCAGTTTCTAGGGTCATTGTGAGATGGGGGTAGGACGCGGTCTGGGAGAACGGGTACATGTTCGTGGTGCATGTGGTTTGTAGGAGTTTTGGGGGAATATATAGAGGAGAGATGTAAGGAGAGAAGATTCGGGTTCTGGTCGCGAGAGTACGCGCATGCGCGACCGCGCATGTGCGCGGGTCTTTGTCTGTGTGTAAGGAGATGTGATGTGTGTAAGATATTAAAGGTTAAACAGTTTACCACACAAGTTCTGGAGTTGGATCTACTTCATCATTTCTACGTGAACGCTCATTCCAACATTACATTTTGGTTGCAGTGACAGTCCAAAACCTGGGTATCCCTTTGCGGACACAACGAAAGTTTTACTTTATTATATCGATCTACGAGCCAGCAACGAAACAGAGAAAGAATGACGGAGAGCGAGAGAGGGAGAGAAGGACGGAAAGAGCGAGTTCCGATGAGAGTATAGCCGAAACACTATATCGATCTATGGGCCAGCAACGAAACAGAGGAAGAATGACGGAGAGCGAGAGAGGGAAAGAGGGACGGACAGAGCGAGTTCTGATGATGAGATGGGAGCCAGGCTGCGCTAGCGCCGACGACGATGATGATGGCGACGAGGATCGGCTGGAGATCGTGGAGAAGGAGGACCGTTGCGGCTGCCGCGTCGGCAAGGCTTGTCAACGGAGATGAGAAACGACGAAGCAAGGAAGAACGGAACAAGAACGCAACTTACAAGGAACAAGAACGCAAGAGATAAACGAGACGGAAATACTTAAATGGGTGAGTGAAACAAACTGTGTCAGCATATAATCGTAAGTAAAGTTAAAAACGATAGTTTCAAACCACAGCGTATAATATACAAGGTGATAGTAAAATACTCAAGCACTTTGCCGGTATACACATGCACCATGTGTCTTATCCCTTATCAAAAAGGTGCATGTTAAGTTATTGAGATGCTTATAGGCTACTTGCGGAGCGGAACAATATTTATAATAATGAAGGCCGATACAGTTGTTTCACAAGCTTACCTGACATTGTATGTATGTATGTAGGTTTATGATTGTTTTATGTACACGGTATTTTGTTCATGATATATGCTTGTGACCGTTTTTTTGTGTGGAAAATCTTTTTCGTGACTTTGTTTAGAAATTTGTAATCGTTTTCTTGAATTTGTGCTAACCAGTGACGGTATGTTTACACTATATTGTCAGACCGCTAAACACATTCTTCAATTAGAGTTTGATTATAGGCCAAAAACATTTCATCGAAAATATTAAATCAGTTTTGCGTATTTTTGTTGGCTGTATGATGTATGATGTATGATGGATGATGTATGATGATTTTTGTTGGCTGTATGATGTGTGGAAGTGACAATGTACCACATCAGTGCTGTGTCTATTAATGCCCTTGCCCTGTGTGCGTGGGATATGATATTATGAGGATATAATCAGACTCCTGGTATAATGGAGCACATGGTTGGAAACGTGGTTTCTGGTAAATGCGTGTAGGTACACGCATACACCACGTATGTTACAGCATAAAAAGACGCAAGAGTGAGAGTAATTGCAGCGATATCAGAATGTTTACTGCCAAATGTGTTGAGTTTCTGACTTGTATTGTGATCGAACTTTATCGTTACTTGTTTTTTACGCTTCATATGTGTTTTCTTATTGTATTTTGATTGTTGTTATGTTTGGTATTGATTGTGGGTTCTTTAATCGGACAGAAAGACGTTTCTCTCGTTGGGTTGAGTTAGGAAGATATTAGGGTAGTAATTTTTTTGGAATTGGTTAGGTTCAGGTTAAAGTGTAGATCAGCGAGGACGCTGAATCGATGACAGGGTAGTCATCGTTTTGGGGAAAAGGGAGATAATGTAACATGGGTTTTGCACGTGTTACATGAAGTAGTCAGCGACGCTATAGACTAGGGTTGTTTGGTGACCAGTTAGTCTGCATAGACGCAGCGTCGCTCTTATTGGGTGGCTGCATTGATGTTACAGGGAGTTGGGTAAGCGGGTTTTAGGTTAGGCAGTTTCTAGGGTCATTGTGAAATGGGGGTAGGACGCGGTCTGGGAGAACGGGTACATGTGCGTAGTGCATGTGGTTTGTAGGAGTTTTGGGGGAATATATAGAGGAGAGATGTAAAAGGAGAAGATTCGGGTTCTGGTCGCGAGAGTACGCGCACGCGCGACCGCGCGTGTGCGCGGGTCTTTGTCTGTGTGTAAGGAGATGTGATGTGTATAAGATATTAAAGGTTATACAGTTTACCACACAAGTTCTGGAGTTGGATCTACTTTATCATTTCTACGTGAATGCTCATTCCAACATTACAGGGTGGCTCTCCCTCCAACGGTGTGTGTGCGCTCTCTCGAGCGTGATCGTTCGTTCATGGCTGTCCGAAGACCGACTCGTTGGCTCGTGCAATCGTGGCCGTCCGAAGACCGACTGGTTTTACCGTTGGATCTTGGCTGCTTATATGTCACCCTGCGGTGACGTAGGATCCTGGCAGTGCCTCTCTCTCACGTGCCTCAGGTGCCTGGGTGTTGTCACCCCCCTCGCTTGACACGTGTACGGGTGATGCAACCACCTTGGTCCAGCATGGTTCATACAAGACTGAAAAAAATTTCAAGGACTTTTCAAGGACATTTTATCGGAAATTCAAGGACATTTTATCGGCAATTCAAGGACATTTTATCGGAAATTCAAGGACATTTTATCGGAAATTCAAGGACATTTTATCGGAAATTCAAGGACATTTTATCGGAAATTCAAGGACATTTTATC